TGCCACTGCACTCCAGCCTGGGTGACACAGCGAGATTCCACCTAAAAAATATATACATATAAAATATACTATGATATTATAATGTATATTATATATAGTATATTTTATATATATATCCTAGAGTTCATATGGAACCACAAAAGAGCTTGAATAGCCAAAGCAATCCTAAGCAAAAAGAACAAAGCTGAGGCATCACACTATCCAACTTCAAACTAAACTATAAAGCTACACTAACCAAAACAGCATGGTACTGGTACAGATACAGACTTATAGAGCAATAGAACAGAATAGAGAACTCAAATAAAATCACACAACTACAGCCATACGGTTTTTTAGCAAAGTCAACAAATAAGCAATGGGGAAATGATTTTCTATTCCATAAATGGTGCTGAGACAGCTGGGTATCCATACGCAGAAAAAATGAAATAAGGCCCTTACCTTTCACCAGATTCAAAATTAACTGAAGATGAATTAAAGAGTTAAATTGAAGGTCTCAAACTATAATAATCTGATATGGTTTGGTTCTGTGTCCCCACCCAGATCTCATCTTGAATTGGACTCCAATAATTTCCATGTGTTGTGGGAGGGACCCAGTGGGAGAGAATTTGAATCATGGGGGTGGTTTCCCCCATGAGGAACCCACTACCATGGTTCTCATGGTAGTGAATAAGTCACAGAAGATCTGATGATTTTATCAGGGTTTCTGCTTTTGAATCTTCCTCATTTTCTCTTGCCACTGCCATGTAAGAGGTACTTTTTACCTCCCACTATGATTCTGAAGCCTCTCCCGCCATGTGGAACTGTAAGTCCAATTAAACCTCTTTTCTTCCCAGTCTTGGGTATGTCTTCATCCGTAGTGTGAAAGCAGACTAATACAGTAAATTAGTACCAGTATAGTGGGGCGTTGCTGACAGGGTACCCAAAAATGTGGAAGTGACTTTGGAAGTGGATAACAGGCAGAGATTGGAACAGTTTCTTGGGCTCAGAAGAAGACAGGAAAATGTGGGAAAGTTTGAAACTTCGTAGAGACTTGTTGAATGGCTTTGACCAAAAGTCTGATAGAAATATGGACAATAAGGTTCAGGCTGAGTTGGTCTCAGATGGAGATGAGGAACTTGCTGGGAACTGTAGCAAAGGTGACTCTTGTTATGTTTTAGCAAAGAGACTGGAGGCATTTTACCCCTGCCCTAGAGAGTTGTGGAACTTTGAAGTTGAGAGAGATGATTTAGGGTATCTGGCAGAAGAAATTTCTAACCAGCAAAATATTCAAGAGGTGATTTTCGGTCTGCTAAAGACATTTACTTTTATAAGGGAAGCATAGCATAAAAGTTTGGCAAATTTGCAGCATGACAGTGTGATAGAAAATAAAAGTCCATTTTCTGAGGAGAAATTCAAGCCTGCTGCAGAAATTTAGACAAGTAAGGAGGAACCTAAAGTTAATCCCCAAGACCCTGGGGAAAATGTCTCCAGGGCATGTCAAAGGTCTTCATAGCAGCCCATCCCATCACAGGTCTGGAGGCTTAAGAGAAAACGGTTTCCTGTGCTGGGCCCAGGGTCTCCACTCTGTGTGTAGCCTAGGGACTTTGTGCCCTGTGTTGCACCTGCTCCAGCTGTGGCTGAAAGGGGCCAATACAGATCTCTGGCCAGGGCTTCAGCGGGTGCAAGCCCCAAGCCTTGGGAGTTACCATGTGGTGTTGAGCCTGCAAGTGCACAGAAGTCAAGAATTGGGGTTTGGAAACCTTCATCTAGATTTCAGAAGTTGTATAGAAATGCCTGGATGCCCAGGCAGAAGTTTACTTCATGGGTGGGGCGCTCATGGAGAACCTCTACTAGGGCAGTGTGGAAGGGAAACGTGGGGTCAGAGCCCCCCAGAGAGTCCCTATTGGGGCACCACCTAGTGGAGCTGCAATAAGAGGGCCACCGTCCTCCAGTCCCCAGAATGGTAAATCCACCAACAGCTTGCACCATGGCACTGGAAAAGCTGCAGACACTCAATTCCAGCCTGTGAAAGCATCTGGGAGGGAGACTGTACCCTGCAAAGGCACAGGGCAGAGCTGCCCAAGACCATGGGATCAGCGTGACCTGGATGTGATACCTAGAGTCAAAGTAGATCATTTTGGAGTTTTTAAATCCTCTGGATTTCAGGCCTGCATGGGCCCTACAGATTTCTCCCATTTAGAACAGCTGTATTTACCCAACATCTGTCTGCCCATTGTATCTAGGAAATAACGAGTTTGCTTTTGATTTTACAGGCTCGTAAGGAGAAGGGACTTGCCTTGTCTCAGATAAGACGTTGGACTGTGGACTTTTGGGTTAACACTGAATTATGTTAAGGCTTTGGGGGACTGTTAGGACAGCATGATTGATTTTGATCTGTGAAGACATGAGATTTGGAGGAGACAGAGGCAGAATGACATGGTTTGGCTATGTGTCCCCACTCAAATCTCATCTTGAATTGTAACCGTAATTCCCATATGTTGTGGAAGGGACCCAGTGGGAGATAATTTGAATAATGGGGGCAATTTTCCCCATACCATTATCGTGGTAGTTAATAAGTCCCAAAAGATCTGATGGTTTCATCAGGGGCTTCCACTTTTGCATCTTCCTCATTTTCTCTCTCCGCTACCATGTAAGAAGTACCCTTAGCCTCCTGCCATGATTCTGAGGCTTCCCCCACAATGTGGAACTGTAAGTTCAGTTAAATCTCTTTTTCTTCCCAATCTCAGGTATGAAAGCATGAAAATGAACTAATACAGAATCCAAGAAAAAAAACTAGGAAACATCATTCTGGACATCAGCTTTGGGAAAGGATTTATGACTAAGTCCTCAAGAGCAATTGCAGGAACAACAAAAATTGGCAGCTTGATTCATTAAATTTTGTATCCAAAAAGTCTACAATCTCATCAATATGATGAATAAACATAGTTTAATTATTAAAATATTACTAACAATTTTGTAATGAATGATAGAATCATAGCAAGTCACCTCATCTTAATCTTGCTCCCAAAACCAAAACTTTCTAATTTTTTACTGTTCTTTAGTAGACTTCACCTCCATATTTCTAAGTAAAATACTCCTATTGATTTATTTTTAATTTAGCCGTTTTAGATTTTATTTATTGGTGCCATGTTGTAAGAAATGAGGATTATCTTTATTTCAACTTTGCCATGTATTTCTCCTCCAATTCCTTGAGTGATTAGATTCTAATTTTAATTGAATCATTAGTATGTGTTTATATTAATATGACTGTATAAATACTGTACAGCAGAGGGCTAAATGATAAATTTCCTATATTTATCATGAGATTGACAATTTCCTCATTGTCATTTTGATATATTTTTGTAACATTCTTAATTATTCTTTATTCTCCTTATTTAATATTT